ATCTATCTATCTATCTATCTATCTATCTATCTATCTATCTATCTATCTATCTATCTATCTATCTATCTATCTATCTATCTACAGTATCTATCTAAAAGCACAGTGGCAGGACAGCTGCTCCACTTGTGTGTGTCTCATGTGTGATGGGTTAAAAGACACGTTTAGACATTGTTTTAACACATACAATGATGACAACACACTGAAGACAAACAGTGAAGACAGGTAATGGTAACAGGAAGCAGGTGTAGGTGGGTGCTGCAGAAAGAAATGGAGGAAAAGTACTGTGAAAATAAACATGAACAATAAACCTCTAAACAGGAAACTTAACTCTGAAAAAGCACAGATTATAGCAGGAATTATTTAAAACGCAGATATCGAACTCCGGTCCTTATTTAAACAGCATATTTGTATACCATAATAGGTTTCTAGAGAAATTACAGATTTAATTAAATCACTAAATCAGGTGTGTTGGAGCAGAGACATAAGGAAACTTGAGTTTGACTAGTTTAAAGATGCCAGAGTTACTTATCCTGCTGTCACTGGGTCAAAAGGCCTCTTGGGTCATTTTAACCCAAAGGCAGGCAGCATGAGGGTTAAGGCCAACAGCAAAGCTCAAGAACAAAAAGGTTTAATTGTAACAGATTTAGAAAAACATTTCTTGATCAAATTAAAATTGTGATTGGATGGGAGGAGTTAAAAAAACATAAAAAGATTGAAGATCCAAAGCTTTTCACATGATTGTCAGACACAGTAGAGGTAGTTTTATTGTATGGGCTTGCTTGATTGGAGGTAGAACTGGGTTTCTGTTTTTAAATTAGTGAATAAACCAGCAAGTAAATTTCTGAAAGGTACAGGATTGATTTTTGTGTGATGGTGACCAATAAGGTCCTCAGACTTCATTCAATAATCATCTGCTAATCATGAGAAAAATCTTAGTTTTTATTATCAACTATTTTTGTTTTAAAAGACCAAAGAAGAGAGACTAATTATGAACAAAACCAGAACTGGACTATTTGCTGTAAAAAACAAAAAGAAGTGTTTTGCTGTTGTTTTGCAGTCCCATCTGTTACCTAAAGCCTAGTGGGAGGTTTGTGACGACGGTGTGTTTGCAGAGTCTGTCTCTTCGGTGCTCCTCTCTCAGCAGAGTCAGCACAACAGCTGATGTGATGTCTTCGTTCAGCTGTTTGAGCTCCCAAAGGGGGGGTGGGTGTGTACGTGTGTGCATGTGTCCTTAAAAACCCTGGCAGCTGACCATCAAATGCCTGCTGACCATTTGTTAAGTGACCTAAAAATTAGAGGGTTGTACACTCTGGTCTGTCTAGCATTGTGATGCTGAAAGACGTCCACCTCAGTCCTTCATGCAAACTGTATGTCCTGCTCTGTGAGAGCTAAAGACAATACTGTGCTGAACCAACTACACAGTATGGTTATGTAGAGTACAAATGTATGGGTTTGTCATGCGTGCACAATTGAGCAGATGGTGAAGCGTGCAGAACACATCTGTAGTGACACAGAGCTCTTTGACAGATTTTCCCCTTCAGGCCATCCATCTAATCAAACACAAATGAGCCCTTCTTCCACTCACCGATTTCTTTCGGTTCCATAAACTCACTTTAGTTCTCTCATCAGATGTTAGTTGCTCCTCTTTTCATCCTGTTTCCTCACCATTTGCTCCTCCATTACCCCATTCTTTCTCTACTGTTCTGCATTTATCCCATAGACGTTTAGACAAGGTTGGTCATTCAAAACAGAAAGGTTGATACTCTTACATTCTTACAGCTTTTTGCTGCTTTGATTACAATCTGCCACAGTTAGAAATAGATCTTTTCAAGGTATTAGAGAAAACAGCAACAGTTTGCACTAATTTATCATCAGTGGCATCAAAATAAAATGTTTGCTTGGTAAGTAGCTTTCAGCAAATATACACTACTACTCTGCACCAGAACAATACCAGAACACAATACATGTGTGTAGACTTGCAGCTCCGCCAAGCCCAGGTTTAATTCTGATTTGTTTCACAATTTGTCAGGGTTAAGTTGGAAATGCATCCTTTAACCAGGGGTATTATCCATGTTCCAAACAAACAACACGCCCGAGTTAATCTTTATCCACGAGTGGTGGTGTTTCCTCATTGCTGAAGAAGTCTTACGCCATTTCAGCCTTGTCTGTTTACCTGCAATTTAAGAAAACCATGGTTTAATGAGTCAGGACATGGTGGGATTTCCCCCATTGCATATGCAAGTTAAAAGAGGGTACCCAGAACCAGCTGAAGCTCAGATAGTAACACTGTTGGATTAGAAAAGTCTGCACAGTTAGTCATCGGTTTGAGAGCGTATTAAAAATCAAAGCAACAATCAAAGTGAGCGCCTTTGGCTTTTTGTTCCTTCAGTCCTGGCGTGGTGGTGGGACACATTCAGCTTGATAAGGCCAGGACTGTCAGGGAGTGCCACTGTCCTTGGGATGTGTGTGTGTGTGTGTGTGTGTGTGTGGGAGTCCTGGGGGCTGCCAGGCTGTCGTCGTGGAGACCAGAGGCCACAGGTGACCTCTGACCTGAGGACTCAGAGCCTGGTGGTTAGGGCTGCATGTTGACGTAAGTGAAGGAGAAAAACCTGACAATGGAGAGACAATAAGTGTGCAGCCAGTTGTCGGAGGCTGTGCAGGGAAACCATTCCTGTAATTTAGGAAGAATGGAGCCCCGGCAGTCGGGCGAGGGCTCATTACTGCACTGCAATCACTGAAACGACTTAAGTACTGCTCTGAGTTKACGTCATCACGCACAAAAAAGTATCTTTTCCATCACCTCAAATCAACTGAGAGACGAGGCGTAGCACTTCAGTGTTCTGGTTGAAGGTTGGATTTCGTTGCTTTTTGTTTTCGCCCTGATGACACTGAGACAAGTGAAGTTTTATTGTGCAAAAACTCGGAGCATCTGGGGCGGCTGTGGCAGAGTGGTTAGGGGTGCCGTACTATAAATGGTGGGTTGCTGGTTTGATCCTTAGTTCCATCCATCTCAGTTGTGGTGGGCAAGAAACTTCCCCCACCTGGCCCGCTYTTGAACGACTTCCCTGATTATTCAGTGGATCAGTGACTATGTGGTTATTAGGGGTTAAAATGAGACCTAAAGTCCCTTTCCAAGTTCTTTAAGTCGCTTTGTTTTAGCTGTTAATTGAAACTTTTATCATGCAGTCCACAAACAGTTAACGCAGCTTGGAGGGACAGAAGATAAAAAGGAAAAGAAAAAAATATATTTTGCTTGGTGACCTTAAGAATGCTGGAACAATTTATTAATTTAGTAGAATACTAAAAGTTGTTTTTAATGAGATATGAGCAAAATATTGGTTAAGATTTGTATTTGTGTTGAGATGCTATTTGTTGATTAATTGAAATTATATTGTTTAGTAAGTTGAGTTTTATTATTCGTATGTTGTATGTTTTTTTTAGATACATATATATTTAAGTGGGGGCAGATGTTATAAGATTTTAATTCTTCTTTCTGCTCCTTTTCATTTGACTATGTTGTGATTGNGTAGGAACGTTTAAAGGAGTGGTACATTTCAAAATGCCGTAGACATTCAGGCAATTACCAAATGTTTCCCATAAGAATGTTGGTCTCTTCATCCATCTATTGTGTAACTCTAGGAAGATTATCTTGTTCCAAAGAACTGTTCAACAATCTAAAATATTTCAAATAGGACTTTTCATATCATGTACGATTAAAAAGATGTCCATAACAGTGACCTGTAATGTTTTTTTTTTTTTTTTTGTAGATTAAGTTTAATCTCAGCTGCCAGATATCAGAAGCAGTTTCCCACAGAACATCATGGGTTCACACCACGGGTAATGTAACGTGCTGAACATCACAGGTTTAGGATGTGTAACAGTTTAAGTGGGTGAGCTTGGCATGATGGTGAGACGTCTTTCATGGCCCACACATTCATTCCTGTCAATCACCTCTTCCAGTGACAGACGAGGCAGATCTGTTACGTTCAGGATTTCTCTTTCAACCTCTTGACGATATGCTGAGCCCAACAGTTACCTTTAATCCTGACTGCATTGTTAGTTAACCAGGCCTACCTGCTGAAATGATTCCTTTCTGTGCTCCTAACTGTGGCATCATCTCTTTCTGGGAATACTGAGTTAACGAACGTTAGTGAGTCAGATGTTTTGTATTCACCTCATCTCAGCCTTATCTTTCCCTCCTGTTTTATTGATTGGGCTTTTCTCCCTGTAAGAAGCGCCTCCACTCACCTTTTTTTAGAAACCTGCTGCAATGTTTATCCTCTGCACTGGGATGAGTTGTGTGTGTGTGTACCTGGTTTTTGTTACCTTTTTAGAACTTATTCTGGTAGAAACACCTACCTTCTCAGGACCAGTAGCTCTTTTGGGTACCAAGAACCGGTTTGGCAGTACAATGGGACACCATTCTTTAGTTAGGTTTAGGACAAAGGTATGAAGTGAGATTAGGTTAGGGTCTCTTTCATTTAATCCAATGAGTTG